CTTACTCCCACTACCAGTTCAGTTTCACCACACCTATTATTAAGCAAAAACATTTTGAAGATAAACCTACTATCCAAGAACACAAACAGAAATCATCTGGGAATTTAATATTTTTATAAGATCTTGTTGCTGTCAAATGGACCGGAGTAGGTCATTCTTTGGGGAGATTGAATTCATTATATATGAAGAATCCTAGGTATTGTCATCCCAATTTGAAGGCTAGAATTGTGAGAAAATATTCAACTTCACAGGTTTGATTGATTCAAAACTAACAGGTGGCCAAAGCTCTAGCCTAGAGGATGCCCAACTGACAAAACTCTTCTAGTGTCATACAACAGAAGGGTTAATGTTAAATTACCATTTAATCTTTATAGTTTTCAAAGTAAAAATCCTAGGGAATGCTACCCTAACCCTCAATGACAAGATAGAGCCAGCAAAGCAGAGGAAGACGTGATCTCTATTCTTAAGGCATTTAAATCTAATAAGAGAGGAAGGTTAAGGTCCCAGCCAGCAAGCATGAGAAAGAATGTAATAGATGCTGTAAGAGTAACACAGTATTGTGGCATGGTTAAGTGGAGGAAGGGACTCTGGAGTCAGGCTGCCTGAGTTTGAACCATGGCTTGATCACCTGCTAGCTTCATGAAGTTGTGCAAGTTAAATTACTCAACTTTCTCCACCCTCATTTCCCCATCTGTAAGATGAGAACAGTAGTTGCCCTCTCTAAGAGGAATCTGGAGAGCAATAAGTCATAGTATAATTTTAAGATATTCCTCTTGATGACTTACTTCTATGTAGCAGTATTTGAGTGTGTGTTTAAGTATATTCTTAAGTTATGGTGCTTGGTGTATCATTCATGATGAGTTAGAGGTTTGTGCTGAAGACAGAATTCCTAGTGTTTACTTCCAGCTCTTCATAAATTCTAGTACTCATTTTACTTCCTTGTACATCAAGTTACTTCTTTATTTAAATGAGCATAGCATGTTCCACGAGAGCAAGGACCTTATAAGTCTTGTTCAGTACCTAGAACAATGTTTGGCACACAGTAGATGCTGGATTAATGTTGGTTGAGTACAATTTACGGAGATTATGAAAATGTTGATACATCAAGCATGAATGTAATTCTGAGAACGAACCATAAGTACTCTACAGAAATGACAGGTTTCCCTTGTTTAAGATTCCCAAGAGAGATAAGCAATGCTATCTATGACATTTCTCGGCTAGAATTTATGCATGAGATTTGGAGTCAGAAGATCTTGCCTGGAGATATGACACTACCACTAGGCTTTGTAACTTCAAATAAGTAATTTAACCTCTACGAGCTTGATTTCAGTCATCAGTGTTTTGAGTTATTACTCATGCTTTAGAATATTTTTGAGAGATCAAAACATCAATGAAATACAAGCACTTGTAAACTGCAAGTACAATAAAGTACAAATGCACTAAGAAATGGTAACTTTTCATGTTCCACTTTAGAAGACTATAAATCATAAGAAGCAGAACTGTATTCCTGTTACTTAAGTCTAAGGTAGTGAAGACAAAGCTGTATTATCCACAAAACAAAATTGATCTTAAGAATACGGAGAAAACCAGCACTTCTCTCTGCCTTTTATACATAGTCAAACAGAGCTGCATGAGAGAACTTCTCCCCATCTTTGCGCCAGCTCCGTTAAGTGTTGCACTTAGTTTCTTCTGAGTCAGCCCCTAAAATAGTTCCAGTCTGAAGGAAGACATGTGGTGGATAGAACTGCTTTGAAGAATTGGCCGGAGCTTCATCAAAGGTTACAGGCCAAAATTTTAAAAAAGAAAATTCCTACTTCCCCTATCTCTGATATTACATAAAATGCATGGCCAGAAGCCAGTTCTTGTTTGCATTTTTCATTTGTAAAACTTCAGAATTCACATGTATTATTTATTATGTTTCTATACTTGATGGACCTCTGTAGAAAAAATCTTTCTCCAGACCCTCACTGTTTATGTTTTGAGCAGATCTTACATAGATAGATCTTTTTAGTCATTTTTCTTCCAAATGTGTTCAGGCAAACTATGTAATTCAGTTGTGGGATTAAGTTGGAATATCATACTCTTTCAGAGTAGTTTTTTATGAAAAACTACATTAAGTCAGTTACAGTGTGGAAATGAATTTACTCTTGAAATTCGACTTAGTAACACTACTAAGAAAAAATCTGTGGCTAAGGAGAAATTCAGAAAGCTTGGGATAGCTAATCCCATCACTAGTCAGGCTGTATTTGGTGTCATGTCTCTTTAGACTTTAAAAAATATATATAACAGCTTTGTTGGGATGGAATTATTCGTATACATCCAATTCATCTATTTAAAGTGTATAATTCAGTGAATGGGTTATGATATTTCAAAAATCATGCAATCATCACCAGTATCTAATTCCAGAACATTTTCATCACCCCGCCAAAGGAGACCCTGTACCCATTAAGCAGTCATTCACCCTTATCCCAACCCCTGGCAACTACTAATCTACCTTCTGTCTCTGTAGATTTGGCTACTCTGAACTCTTCATATAAATGGAATCATACAATATGTGGCCTTTTGTGACAAGTTTCTTTCACTTAGCATAATGTTTTCAAGGTTCATCCTTCTAGCATGCATCAGTACTTCATTCTTATTTATGGCCAAATAACATTCCATTGTGTGGATATATCAGATTTTGGTTATCCAGTCATCTGTTAATGACGCTTCAGTTATTCCTACTTTTGGCTATTGTGAATAGTGTTGCTGTGAACACTGAAGTACAAGGATTTGTAGGAGGATTTCTTTATCCCTTGTTTTCAGATACTTTGGGTATATACTGAGCCGTGGAAGTGGGGGACTGTCCGACAGTTTGCCACAGAAACTGCACTATTTCATATTCCCAGCCACAATGTGTGAGGGCTCCAATTTCTCCAATTTTTCTGTCTTTTAAAGTTATAGTTAGATTAATGAGAGTGAAGTGGTCATCACATCGTGATTTTGTCCTGCATTTCCTCTATCGGGTTGTTTTAAAAATACATTTTTCTAGAAGTCCTTTGCCTGCAACTTTAACCCTCTAGAACATGGCCCTGCATGCAACTTGATACATAAGGGCCCCCAAAGAAGTAAGAGCAGTCTTAGAACTGCTGTGAGAAAGCTCTGCATCTTGTTCCATAGGCCCCTCATTCAGTGGGTCATTAATTGTTATACAACATTCATGATTGGCTATTAGGTTTTCTGGAAGAGAGGTGGAAAATTCACTGTGGTAGATATTGTGACAGTCAGAGAAGTGACAGTGGATGTGACAATTAACGGCTCCAAGTCTTTAATTAGAGTCCAAATTATGTTCAATATGTTTAAGGAAGACAAAGTTACATCGAATGAACCCATTTTACAAAAATTTCCATGAAGAATGACTCAGAGAAAAACGTGTTTTGCTCTTGAGTAGATAACCTTATTTGAATTTTCTAGGTACTTAATTTCTCAATGATATTTGAAAAGTGATGTGATATCGAATTTCATCTTAAATATGGAAAAGACAAAGAAAATTTAGATTTTGTAAAGTTGTTGAAAATATTGTCCAAAAAATTAAATGAAATATTTTTAAGAACTTTAATCTCATTTTTCAACAAAGCTAACAGTTGATTTTTCTAATACTCAGAGCTCACTTTTACAAATTAGTGCTATTTCAATATGTGTTTATGGCATAGGCCAGTAAATTCACCTTTCCTGTACCTTCTCAGCTGTCACTGGAAATTGTAACTGGTTCACACTGACTTAAACTGCAAACCGTAAAGCTGCATCATATTTAATCTATTTATTTCGTTAAACAGCACATTCTGTCTCACTTGTTTGTACATGCTGAAACCTTTTTCTGAGTTGTTCCAATTTCCGTTCATAGAGACTAAGGAGGCTACACAGAAAAAAAAAATCCAGTATCTTTTCAAATGATTTTTTATCCACTCAGTTTTATTTATTTATAACTTGCACTTATTATTGGTTCTTATCAAATAGAGACTTGAATACATTTTTATGCAAAAAATACAACTTATACAAAAAAGAGCCCTTTGACTCACCCTTAATCATACTGAGTGAGCCATTATTATCAGCTTGCTGTGAATTATTCCAGATATTCATCTCTTTATGCACGTAGGGAAATATATTATTGTTTTATGGATTTTTCCATAAATCATAACACATATATATTACATGCAATATGCATTTATTTGAACTGCGTAAATCTTTTTTTTTTTTTTTTTTTGAGACGGAGTTTCGCTCTTGTTACCCAGGCTGGAGTGCAATGGCGCGATCTCGGCTCACCGCAACCTTCGCCTCCTGGGTTCAGGCAATTCTCCTGCCTCAGCCTCCTGAGTAGCTGGGATTACAGGCACGCGCCACCATGCCCAGCTAATTTTTTGTATCTTTAGTACAGACGGGGTTTCACCATGTTGACCAGGATGGTCTTGATATCTTGACCTCGTGATCCACCCGCCTCTGCCTCCCAAAGTGCTGGGACTACAGGCTTGAGCCACCGCGCCCGGCCGAACTTGGTAAATCTTGGTGATCTCTACACATCAGAACCCATATATCTGCTTCTTTCATTTTAACGGCTGCATGGTATTCCATAGCTATGCCATGTATACAACGTAATTATGATACACCCTTAGGGTATCTTCTTTTTCTTAAATATATATAAAGTTGTACTTTAGGTTCTGGGGTACATGTGCACATCTTTCTGAAGCACATTTTACATTTCCATCCTCCACTCTACCTTATGTGAGATTGCTGCCCAGTCTTGTACTACAACAGTGAATCTAAGCAGTTGCTTGCTTTTACTATACAGTTTTATACTGGGAAATGCCCTTTTTTATTGACAAAGCTGACTGTACTATGCTGCACCGTCAGTATCTAGATGCTTCCTGTTTTAAATAGGATATAGTTACTTCTTTTCCAAATCTAAAGTTTGAAACGGAAGCATTGTATTATTTTAGCTAATTTTATTTATTTTTTTCTTGCAGGTTCTGAAAAGTGCCTTTTCTGAAAACTCTGCTGCTTGGATTCTACTCTAGAGCTGTCTCTTTATAAACCCCTCTCCCTAACATAACGTTCCCTGCCCTCTCCACCTCCCCGCCGAACCTGGTGTGCTTGTAGTTTACTGTCAGCAGCTGGTCCATTTCCTTTTTCTGTGATTCTCAATTTTCTTAGTTATTTTCCCTCCACTTGATTTTGCAACAAAACTTTTTTGGGTTTCTAACATCCTTCCCAATCTTACTATTTATAGCTAATAAATAAGGAGAAAAAGTTTTCTCCTCCTGATCTGAGACCATTCCACAAATCGAAGGGCAGCCAGCAGCATATGTTTTTTGCAAGAATAATTGAAAACATCAACTGCAGAGCAGAGAATTCTTTTGAAAGTCTGCCGGTTATTTCACATAAATTCGGCAAAGGAACAAACAGTTGGCTTCTTAGGAGTTGGTCTCTCATTAGATTTTTAGTTATTCTCATAGAGTTTTTATGATTGGCTTTTTGTTTGACTAGACCAGATTTGACTTTAATGAAAACCTAAGTGCCAGCAAATAGATGTTTCACCAAAACCACCTGTTATCTCTTCAACTTAGTTTAATTCATTTTTAATCCTTAAACAGTCGACGATAATATTGTACTTAAGAGGGTACACTGGATTTTAATTTTGCTTTCAATATGACGGCTGTCAATGTTGCCCTGATTCGTGATACCAAGTGGCTGACTTTAGAAGTTTGTAGAGAATTTCAGAGAGGAACTTGCTTTCGAGCTGATGCAGATTGCAAGTTTGCCCATCCACCAAGAGTTTGCCATGTGGAAAATGGTCGTGTGGTAGCCTGTTTTGATTCTCTAAAGGTGAGTCCCATCTGAATGCACATAATTTACATTTGTTGATTTCTATGTTTTTGAAATATGATGTGCTTTGAAAAGAGTAAAAATAATAGCATGAAAATGAGAATTTTTTTCAAGACAGAATGTCAAGATAGAAGGTTTTAAAGTCAGAATGTCTTAATGACAAAATGTCTTAAGTCTTTGTGTTTGTAGAGCTAAGCCAAGTCTAAAGCTCATTTCACTGAAGACCACTTATCAAGACAGATACACTTAAAGAATAAAAATTCAAGAATTTTTGTAGGAGTGAGGGATTGTAGTGTTGCTATTGTTTACTTTTTTGCATATGATTTAGATGTTAAATATAGTGATCATAATCCTTCTGTAACGTAGAGAAGCCCTTCACTGAATTATAGCTTATTGTCCATAGTACCAAAATGCACTTGGCAGGGCCCAGTCAGCTTTTAGAGAATAAATAAGTCAGATTGAGGGAGTATGAGGTTTCCGGAAGGAAAATTATGGCATTTTGAAGTGCCTCAAAGTATATTTTGAACCTTTAACTTAAACATATTGCTACAAAACTACGTTCACTTGATTTTTCTCCTGGACAGCTGATTGACCAATTTCAGATTTGTGTGTATATTTTATAAGGAAAGTCCTATTACCAAGGTCATCAAGCCTGAGTATAATCTACTAGATTACAAAGAAAATATAAGGGCAGATGAGATATTATGTAGAATAAGACATATATGATTGCAGAAAAAGAAAATGTACTGATTTTCATGTTTTATTCATAGTTATCCTTAAATTAAGGATAAAAATTACAAATTAAAACATAGAAGCAATAAATTGTAATGGATTTCTAATTTAATTAATAAGATTTACTACAATGAATTTGAGATTTTTTTCAAAATATATCAAAATGAATTAAGTTTAACAAGAACATTTTCAGTTTTTTGATGTTATTTTACCCTCATCATGACCAATTTTACCTCATTAACATTTTTATTTATGGCTGCATTGGCTAACAGAGATGTATCCCTTCGTGTGATGGTTTCCTCAGGCAACATTTTCTTAAGTGAGATACAGATTAAGTATCTCTAATCTGAAATGCTTGAGACAAAGTGTTTGGGATTTTGGAATATTTGCATATCCATAAAGAGATATCTTGAGGATGGGACTCCAGTCTAAACATGAAATTCATTTACATTTTATATATACTTTTTATACATAGCCTGAAGGTAATTTTATACAATATTTTAAATAATTTTGTGCATGAAACAAAGCTGTATACATTCAACTCTCAGAAAACAAAAGAGTCACTATCTATCTCAGCCACCCATGTGACATCATATTGGCACTTAAAAAGTTGAGACTTTTGGAGCATTTTATACTTCAGGTTTTCAGATTAGAGATGCTCACTCTGTACTACTTAAGGAGTTATTTTTACTTATTTTGTGATTACTAGGTTTTTTTTTTTTAACTTGCAGACCATTCCATTTTAAGAATTGAAACTTGTTATTGTAAAGATAAAGGTAATTTCTACCATTGAAAATCTCTGAATTGCTTTTATTTGTGGTAGACATTATGACTAAAGAGCTTATTTTGTTTTCTTCATTTCGGTTCCACTTAAATTCTTCTACAATTTTTTTGTGTATTATTTAAATCTGCTGCTACAGGATTGGGCAGTGCCTTGAAGTGGAAAGAATGCTGAGTTAGTTGGGAGAAAAAAGGAGGCATCTTTCATCCAGTCCATATAGAGAGTTAGGAACTGCAGTAGGAACTTTGCATGTGTCGTTTCAGATCTGGGGTACTGCCCCAGCCTCATTACTGTATCTAACCTCAGGCAACTCAACCTCACAAACCTTGAGTGATTTCATCTCTAACAGATGGATGGTATCTTCTCTATCTAATTCTTTGATTATTTTGGAGATTGCAGTGAGCTAGTGTAAATGGAAAACCATTTTCACTATAGAAGTGAATTAAATAAAAGGTTTTCTTCCTATCAACTAAGTGTTTGTTGTTGGCATGCTTTAATAAAGCTCTATTTCGTTAGGGTTTATTATTGAAAATTACAAACTCATGTTCCAAATATACATGACCAAATCTAATTGCTGTGTGATATTAGTTGTTCAAGCTAAGTATAACTGTTTTTATGGTTACACTGATAATAGAGTTCCTTGTAGACTTTGTAAATTCTGTCTTTCCAAACATCATAGAATGTGGAAGGAAATGTGTAATCTTCCTAATCATGAATACACTCAGGTCAGTAATTCCATTTAAAGGCAAAAGAGTGCCATAAACTAAACATTTTGAAGAAAAGTACTAAGGAAGGTAACTGTTTACAAAATGAGTATTGCCCTGCAACTTTAAAGCTTGGAAAGTGTTTAATTTAAAGACAAAATATATAATAGCGAATGAATATTAATAAGCCACTTAATTATTTAAGTAAGTTGTCTACTCACTGTAGCCAGTGTTTTTAAAGTAATGTTTGCATCATGTTACTGTCCTGATGACCAGTCACAGAGGCTAAAGATGATTTACATAATCCTTACGTTCTCATATTTTAGTAAAAACCTTAATATTTCAAATATATAAAGCCTTTCAAACAATTATTTAATTTGCCAGATAGCACATTAATCAGAGTTCCATGCATTCACAAGAGCTTTGTAGTTCTTATCCATGACATGCATGAAAGTTAAATTGAGGGTAATTGACCTATGTGCATTGTACTAGTGTCATATCTGTAATACGCAAATAACATACCTCAGTGGTTACTACAGCATTTCCTACTTCTCTTGAGTTCGTATAATTGAAACACTGTTGAAATTCGTCTGTGTACTATTTCTTCTCTCATGAGTGATTAAATAACTGAAACAGTCTTTTGGTGCATTTTGGGCTGCTGCTTTTGTTTTTGTTTTTTTTTGTTGTTGTTCTTGTGTAAGAATTCTATTAGTACTCGCTACTCTACCAGATGATGGTTACTGCCTTAATAACAGGCACAACAGATACAGTGTTCTATACTCACGTCAAAATGAGGGAATGTTATGAAAATAAGAAGGGCAAATTGGATGGCTGATTGTGTATTGTGCTGAAGTGCTGTGCCCATCAATCCATGAATGTTGAGTGCTCAGTGATGAAGGCAGCACCATCTTCAAATGGAAATCTAGTGTAGTCCATGGATTAATTTCTAGATACATAGAATGGTCTCATATCATGTGGGTATGCAGCTTCTTTTGACTCAGTTGCCTTGTGGGCTTGGCATAATCTGTTTCCAAAGTTCTCTTCAAAGTATCACTTAATCCATCCTATGCCAATTTCTTGATATTACAGTTTGCCATTGATCTAGGTTGGTATTTTTAGTGAATACTCCTTGGATTTAATGAAGGATCATCATTTTAAAAACTAAATCAATCTTTGTGATTATTTTTATAGCCAAGTTATTCTGCTTCAGCAATATCATGATGTCTTGAACCTTTCCCTCTATACTTGAAGCAATGTTTTATAAGTAACTTTTTATGCACAAAGGATATAAATGTTGTCATTATTTCATTATGACAGATCAACACCCATTACATCTGCTCATGCCTCTTACTACTTTGGGTAGTTTTGTGCCAATAATTTCCTGGTAAAGGCCATAGCAGCAGGCATAGTTAGAGGATAGTCAAGCTAACCTATATACATTCCTCAAAAAATGGGAACTGGGTGAGAAATGCACATAAAGCAGTCACATGCCATGTCTTCAGACATCACATATGATCACAAGAAAAAATAATATTGTGACAAGTGAAGCCTGTTGTATAAGCATATGGATATGAACCCATTCTTGCAGGTCAAACTGGCCCAAGTTACCACTCGTCACAGTAGTTTTCATTAGTTTAAAATTTGTGTATTTTTGACTGAATACTTACTCATCCCTATTTGCTAAGGGAAAGTTTAACAGAAACTAGATGCCTAGCAACACAATCCCAGGGGTCACTGGATTGTGCAAGACTTAGCACCATTTATCAGCTCCATCAGAGAGGCCTGTCTGCACTATAAAGATACATAAGCAGTACCTGTCATCCTGAGAGTCAAGGAAAATAAGATTTTATTTAAGGATCTCTGTTTTTTGTGATGCTAATCTTTAAAAGGAAGTATCTTTGACTGGTAAAAGTCAATGCTATTTTGGACATTTCAAAAGCCTCTTTTGAAAAGGAAAATAGAATTACAATTATAGGTTGGTACAGAAGTAATTGTGGTTTTTTTTGGCCATGAAGGTAATGGCAAAAACTACAATTACTTCTGCACCAACCTAATGGTACCCAAACAAATATATATTGATAGTTCAGCCTTGCATTTTAAATGTTTTATTTTGAAATATTAATAATTTTAGGCTTATAGAAAAGTTACAAAAATAGTACAGGAAACTTCTGTAAACTTGTTATCCAGATTCCCCTGATGTCAGCGACTTACATGCCATGCATAGCACAGTCATCAAAACCAGAAAATTATCACTGGTACAAGATACTTAAGTAAATTAGAGACCTTATTTGAATGTCACCAGTTTTTCTTCCTAATGTTATTTTTCTGTTCTAGGATCAAATCTAGGATCCCGCATGGCATTTCTTCATCATACCTCCTTAGTCTCCTCCAACCTGTGACACTTTCTCAGTCTTTCCTTGTCTTTCATGAACATGGCACTTTGGATGAGCACTGGTCAATTATTCTGCAAAATATATCTCACTGAATGTTTTCTCCTGATTAGACTGAGATCATGTGGTTTTGGCAAAAAAAGAAAAAAAAAAAAGAAACCCACACACAGAAATGATGTGCATGACATCTGAGGGTATATGATATTGATAGATCTTATCATTCATTATGTTAACTTTAATCACTTGGTGAAGGTGGCGTCTACTGGGTTTCTCCACAATAACATAACCAGTTTTTCTTTTTAAAAACTGATAACTATCTTCCCCATTTATTCATCATCCCCTACAATATGCCATTGATTGTAATGGGCATCCCAATGTTCTAGATGTTAAAAA